CAGGCACGGCAAGGTGGCCTTGCTTCGGTCTCCCGGGCACCCGGCTCAGGCCCTTGCTCTGATCCGCTCCTTTGGCTGCTGTCTGACCACTGGGGAGCAGGGACGCGTCCGTGCCGCCACTACGGTCATGGCGCGCTTCTTTTTTATTTGCCCGGGAATGCAAAGCGTTAAAATCCAAAGCAGTTCCTCTGCAGGCCCGCTCGCTCGGTGGGGGGGTGGGGGTGGGATGAAGCCCAAGCTGCTTAGAAAATCACAAATGATCCCGGAGCTCAGCGCCCGCACCCGCCTCCGCGGTGAGGCAGTCGAAGGGGCCTCCCCGCCAGGCCCCGAAAGCCACCATCTGGAGCCGGCGAGTGAGCGGGCCAGTGAGGGGCACTCGCGGGCGGGACCCTCCCGGCCTGACTAAAACGAACATGCCTAGCTGGGTTCGCACAATGGGCCGCCCTCCCCTCCCCTCCCCTCCCGTCCATCCCGCTGCGCCCCCCCCCCCGCAGCGCCCGCCCGTGCAGGCGCCGGGGCTGGCAAGCCGCAGAGACGCGGGCAGAGCAGAGCGGCCCGTCCCGCCACCCGTTTCCCCTGAAACTGCAGGAGCCCTCTGGCCACGGCCCTCGCTTCTCAGAGAGGCCCTCGCGCTTTCTAAGCCCCCACATGCTTCTGCCGAGAGAATATGCCAGAGCACGTGAGCAGCCTTTCTCCCTTCCCATTTTTCCTCTGGGAAAAGTGGAAACAAGCCCTGCAGAGTGGGACTGACTGGACCAGAACTGACTTAGCATTAGGGCTGGTCGATTTCACCCCCCCCCCCGCCCCGCATGTCTTTCTCCAGGAAGAGGCATCCTAGCTACCCTCAGGGAATGCAAACAAGCAAGGGCTTCCCCCTCCTGCAGTGCTTCTCCTCTTTCTTTAGACAAGGTCAGAATTAACCCTTCCCCTTCCCCTTCCCAGTGGGGTAAAGGGAAATGTTGAATCCCCAGACACCAAAAGAAAGAATTGCTCTGAGCAGCCTATCAGATGCACCATATTAAATGTCGCTGCCATCCTGGCTGCAAAGGCCTCGAAAGGGGTGCCAAAGGGTGCTCGCTAAAGCACAGAAATAAGGGAGTCCTGGTGTGTTGCTTGACGGCCTTACAGATCACAAGCTAGTCCCTGCTGAGCAACCCCACCTCCCCCACAGTCTCGACCAATCAATGAACCTATCCCGACATGGTAAAATGTTTTAAAAAGGATTCCAAGTCATAGATGCACAAAGCAAAGAAAACAGAAATAGATATTATAAATTATATCAAGTTAGAATGATAATCTTTCCTAACAGAATAATCATCTTAATATGCTGCAGCAAAACAGTCTTGTGGCGCCTTTCGAAGCCTCAGATTTAAATGTTCATGGAGTATTTTGTGTCTTTTAAACCCTCCTAGCAACCGGCTTTCTGCAGGTGCGAAGGGCACAAAGTGTGACTGGCAGAACAGGCTCTGGTCCTTAAATATTTCTACCACAAAGGAACTTCGGGTCTTTTCTTTTCATACACCACAAGACATTCGTTGCAATTAAGGCAACAAGCTGTGCAGATTAGTGCAAAGTTAGTGGTTTGTGCTCATGAAAGTGACAACCTGGAGTCTCAGAACTGGACGGTTCGCTCCCACCCCACAACCTGCTGCCCTGAGACCAGCGGAATTCCATTCTCCCAGACGACCATTATCTCCATTTCCAAGAGGAAAACACAGAGGGGTTTGCCAGTGCGAGGGGGATCCGCGGCCCCCTCCGCTTCACGGTCATTTGCAGGCAGATCAGCGCTGACATGCCATCTGCAGCTCTGAGGTCTCCCACACGCAGCAGCTGCCCCCCTTCCTCCTTTCTAACCGCCCCCTTCCAACAGGCAGCCGGAGTAAACGAAAACACTTGACCAGGGGCTGCGGGCAGGCCACCTCATTATCTCCAGACCATCAAGCCAGGAAGGGGGAAAGAACCACGGCCTTAAATGGAATCTGGCACGATGAAGGCCCTGCTGGACTGGCAGATGAGTTTACACCGATATTATCAGGTTAAAATGCCTGTCACAGAACCCACTGCCAAGGCTTCCCCTCTCAGATGCAAAACCTTCATCCAGGGTTTACTACTTCCAATTCACAAAAGATGGCCGACGTGGAATACTAATAAGAATAATGGTAAGAACAATAAAAAGACCCTTCCCTGAACATTCCCTTGTTTTGCTGCATGCAAGAAGCACGTTTTTGAAAAGTCTGAAGTTGTACTGCCCGGGCATCTCCTCAAGGAAAGAGCCTGCCATTTCCCCACGAACTGCAGCAGCATTCCCAAACAGCTGCCCCCAGAGGTGTTCTGAGCACAACTCCCATCATTCCCAGTGGCCATGCTGCAGGGGCATGATGGCAGCTGTGGTCCAACCCCTCTGGAGGGCTGACCACATTCCAAGTCCCATGGGAGAGGAAATGGAAAGCATCACACATGCTGCACTCCGTGGTTCTGGCCTTGGAGCACGTCTGAGGACATCCTCCCGCCCACTCGCGACGATGCCCTTGCACTCCTCTGCTGGTCTCAGGAAGGCGACGCTCCCCAGCAGAGGAGGTCACACCTGGCACCACGAAGGCCACCTGCAAGCACACGCCTGGAGAACAGAGCTGGCCTTTGCCACTGGCCTGTGGCCCCTTCTGGGGCCATTCAAGGGAGCGGGGCAAAGCGAGCTTCAAATTCAAATCTACCTGGCTATTAAGTCCAAGCAGGGGTCAGGGTGCATCAGGACCCCTTGATACAGTGGGCTGACTTCCAAGGAAACATCACGAGAGTGCCCCCAGGCATGGGCAGAGTGTCTATTCCTACCAGGGAATTTCCACCTGACCCCAAAGCTGGGGAAGGGGCTTCGGTTGCTCACTTTATGCAACAGCTCCTGGTGTAGCTCCAGAAACCACCCCATCGGACTGCACTGCCTCCAGTCACAAACTAGATTGAACTATCCAGAGCTGCTGCAAATGAGTCTCCTGAAATCACCCCTTAATTAAAACTCCGGAGAGCCAGATCCTGCACTCGCACACACATATCCTCAAGGCAGGTGCAGAGTCAGAAGTATCGCCAAGGAGAGGGATCAGAATCAGCCCAGAGCCAAAACACTCCCAGCACCCTCCACTCTTTGATTAAGTGCTTCTTACACTCCTGCCTGAAGGCGGACCTTAATAAAAAGCTTCCACATGTACTCCAGAGAAATTTTTCCCGTCCCAGCAAATGCCAAGGCTGGTCTCTGAACACACATGCACCAGAATGAAAACCCAGAAGGGCAAACTGCATGCAGGCAACCCATGCAGGAGTGCTATTTACATATTCCCAGCCTGGTGGGTGGGAAAAGAAAGACAAAGCCCTCACAACAGGTTTATAAGCCTGTGAGAACACAAACGAGGCAAGTTGATATGCAAACTGTGGTCACAGTGGAACACTGGCTTCCTATGGATCTCACCTCTACTAGGTGTGGCAACAACTCCTAGTTTGCATGGGTATCCAGAGGCCTTAAACTGAAGAGGGGAGGCAAGAGAAACACTGAATTACCCCCTGCTCCACACAGGACTCCAAGTTCTAGCATCCGCAGCAGAAGTCTGTCCAGCTGCATCTTGAATCCCTTCAGGGGAGGGGGCCTCCAGTGGGCTCCGTGGTGCATTGCTCTGACAGTCGGAAGCTCTTCCTGATGTCCAGCTCGAAGTGAACCCCCTTCCCAAACACCACGGCTGCTCCCGCCAAGCACCCCATTTATGCACCTTCCCAAGGAGGAAGCGGCAGACAAGATGCCGCCCAGGCAGCGCCTCCGAGCGGCGTCCGAAGAGATGCCCGCGCTGCCCCCCGCACGTCCGCGGCCTCCCCCTCCAGCTGCTGCGGGTGGACGGGGGGCGGCTGGCCGGGCGGGGCCTCCGCAAGGGAGGAAGCGGCGCCGGGGGAGCCCCTCTTGCTCCGGCCTGGCGCGCAGCGCTCCCTCCCCGCTCCGGGGCCTCCTTTCCCAAAGCGCCGCCAGCGCTGGCCCACGCCAGGTGCCTCCCAGGTGCTGGCACGGCGGCTCCCAGCGGGATGCGCTCCCGGGCGGGCACGGACAAAAGCCGAGCCGAGCCGAGCCGCTCCAGACGCCGGCCCGGCCCTCACCGCCCCGGCCCTCTTCCCCGAAGGGCGCGCGGGCGCACCTTGGGCTGCGCGGCCCCCGTCAGGTAGGCGGCGGTGGCGGCGGCGGCGGCGGGCAGGCAGCGCGCCCGCCCGGGAAGCCATCTTCCCTGCACATGACACCTTGGCCGGGGGGGCAGGCCGGGTCTGCGGGGGGCGCCGCGCGTGCAGCCACGCAGGCAGGCAGGCAGGCAGGGCAACGAGCGAGGCGCGCCGATGCACGCGCGGCCGGCCCGGCCCGGCCCGCAGCCCAGGCGGCTTCAGGGGAGGCCGCGGAGCCAGGAGGCGCAGGAGCGAGCGAGCGGGCGCCCGCCCGCCCCCCGCCCTCTGGGGCGCAGCACCGACGCGGTGGGCGACACGGAAGCAGGAGCGGCGCTGCGAGACCCACCTGGCCCGCGGCCGCGCGCGCGCCCCCGGACCCCCGCCCCGGTTGCGCCTGCCTTCTTCACGCGGCACGCGGAGCAGCGCCGGGCAGGATGCGGCCGGGCAGGCGCTGCGGGGGGAGCGAGCGCCGAGTCCATCTCGCAGCCACGCCTCCTTCTGCTCCCCCCGGTAAGAGGAGGGCCGCCGCACCGCGAGCGGCGCCCGCCCCCGGCCGCTCCTGCCTGCCAGCTGCCCCCGGCCGCCTCGCGACGCGGCAGAGGGCACGCTCCTCTCGGGCCGGTCGGCCAGGCCAGTTCCGGGCTCCGCGGCGGCCCTTCCCGCGAAGGGGGAGGCGGAGGCAGCAGCCTCCCCGAAGAGCAGGAAGGACGGGGTGGGGACGCAGGAACAACCGGTGCCCGCCTCGGTCATCTCGGCAAACTCTGACCCGGCCCCCCAGAAACAAAAGGGCGAGTCGCTCCCTGCAGCCGAATTACCATGGCAGCTCCGGGCGATCCTGTTGCTCCGGCTGACGTGTGAAAGGCGCGGGCGCAGCCCTCGCTTTCTCCCCGCCTTCGCCGCTTTTGTTCCTTTCTGCCCTCTCCTCAGCCACCAAACTGCCTGCAAAATTCCACAATTTTCTCTCTCGGCGTGTCTCTCGGGCGGCTCCTTCCGCTTTCCATGCAATTGCAAAAAGGAAGCAAAAAAAAAAATCCAATTCAAAAATTTGAAAAAAAACACGAGGACCAAGCAAGCTTTTGGCTGCTCGCCTTGAAAAAGGTGCGACTTCGTTGCCAACAGCCGCGCCGCCCACACCGGGAGCTCCGGATCCACTCCCCTCCCGCTTCTCGCGGCGTGTGAACAGGGGAGGATTCGAACCTGCGGACGCTCCACGGCTGTTCCCAGGGCTAGGCCCACCTCCCTCCGGCGCTTCCATTGTCTCCGCTGCGAAGTTCCCAGCGCCTCCCTCCCTCCTTCCCTCTCCTCCCGGCCAATTAGTTTTATGGTTTACTGTTCAAGAGAGACGGAGACAGAAAACAGAGTGGGCGGGGGCGAAACTTCGCCTTTTCTGAACAATGCAGGATTTTGACTCTTCCCCAAACTCCTGGTTGAAAAGGAAATAAAAGGAGGAAAGAGTTTAACAGGCAAGGAGATACTTTGGGTCGATAGAAGCCCAATTTAAGGTGCACCCAAGGAATGGCTTCACATCCTTTTCAGCTGAGCACTTAATTTTGCTATACAGTATTGGTTTCCTCTGATGGAGAAGACTGGAATTTTCCAAGTTCCTCATCTGCAGAAATAGGGATGGGAGGCAGATTTTTATTGTTGGAATTTGGGCACTCAAGACAACTTACAACAGTGAAATTCCAATTAAAATGCAATTAAAATATGAAAATTAAAAGCACAGGGAAAGAAGCAGGCTGCTCCGGACCAGTCAAACCCTCGCTCAGCAGCAGAACCCCTCGTGTGCCGAAGTCCTGCTTGAATAAAAGCGGCTGGGCCGCTGCAAGAAAGCCTGCGAGGGAGGGCAGCCCGCTTCCCTGGGGGCAACCATCCGAAGGCCCTCTCACGCATCGCCCCAGGTGCCCCAAAGTCCACACACAACAGCCAAGGGGGGCCTCTCTAGGTCTGGGGAACTGGGCAGGCTCACCTGAAAGACGGAGCTCCCTCCGGGGGCCCGGTGACGCGGCGCCACTGCTCGTCTTCCTCAGCCCGAGGAGGCATGGTGCACTGGAGAGGCCTGGGCTACCGACTACTTGCCCGCCCGCTCGGATACGGAGCGGCTGGTAGGAGGCAGCTGGCTCGTCCTGGGAGGCAGGGGCGCCTCCCTGAGGCCCTCGCACGAGACCGCGGCTCCCATCACCTGCACACAGCCAACGGTCCTCTTGCCCCCAGGGCTCAGCAGCTGGGAGCAGTTCTGCTCCAGCTGCCTCTGCAGGATCCCCTCTTCAGGACAACTTCCCTCCGTCACAGGACAGAAAGAGCCTTGGCGGCCGGGAGGCGGCCCGTCACTCCCCAGAACCCACAGCGGCATTCAGCGCCTTCAGCCAGGGCCTCCCTCTGCATTAGCTGCCAGGCTCAGCGGCTGGGCACCTCTGCCTCTGTGGAGGGCTGGCTCCAGACGGCAGCGCTCGGGGACGACCATTCCACAAAGGGGCATTTTGGGCGACCTGGGCCACCCGGATGCTTTGGACTACAACTCCAGTCTCCCTCTTTCAGCAATGGGGCTGATAGGGGTTGTGTCCCGAGGAGATGAGGGTGACAAGCAGCCTGCTTCTGCTGCCACCGCCTTTGGCATCGTCTGTGGCCACTCAGGGCAGCAGCGGCATGGGACTGACGGGGAAAATCGCCGTGCACCGTGCCGCTGGGTGCTCTCCGTGGGTGGGCACTCGCCACCTTTGTCCCTTTTGCAGCCTCCGAGGCTGCTTGCGGAAGAGGTGCTGGGAGTCAGTCCAGGTGGGTGAGGCTGACAAACTACCCTCATTCCAGAGAAGGCAGAAGTGCCATTTTGGCATGGCCGATCAGTCCAGGGAATAGAGGTTCTACCTGATTGTGACGGGGCTTACCTCTTTCCTTAGGACCAGTGCTAAATCTTGCATTTCTGCAGCAAGCGGCATTAGGAGCTCTCCACGTTTTTGCTGCTCTAGAGCGAAATGGGTTGGCCACAGACACCCGTTCTAGAGAACGTCTCGATCTGACTACACGCGTCACATGGATGGGGCTGCCCTTGAAGAGCATCTGGACACCTCGCCGTACGGGGGACGGGCTGCCCACCAGCGCTGGTTGCCAAGAGCACAGTGGTGGAAGTGCTCCCTGGGCCTAGCTTGTTTCTGGGCGCAAGCCAAGGGTGCACCTCAGCTGGACTGGGATGGTGGTGGCTGAAGGACCATCTGTTGCCCCGTGGACCTCCCAGCCCCTTCGGAGTTTCCTCAGAGCCCTTTTCCGGGATTGAACTTGGGAAGTGAGGCTGCTGGAGGGAAGGCATCTCTTGCGTGGCACTGAGGACGAGGCGCTCGTGGCCCCTTCATCCTCTCTCTCGGGTCGCAGAGCAGCCCCCCTTGCAGCTTGCCCCTTTGCTGAAGGGCCCACGAGCTCACTTAGCACACCTGCACACAGCCTCGGCAGAGGCAGGCCTGCTTGTGCGAAGAGGGTGAGGCTGTGAGCGACTGGCCTGAAGTCGCGCAGTGACCTGGGTGGCCAAGTGGCCGGCGCCCGCCCACGTCTCCCAAAGGGCTGTGCCACACCGGCTCACACGTCTTTGCGGCAGGGATTGCACGCGAGAGACTGTAGCCTTGGGCAGAGCGGAGGTGCCCGCTGCCCTGACCCTCGCCTGTCCTGCCATGCAAGTTGTAGCTGCACTCTGACTCTGGAGGGAGTCCCAGCTCCGGCAGCGGAAATTCCTGCTGGGGCAGAGAAGCAGAGAAGACAGCTTTCCCCGGGGAAATCTAACCTTGCCCTGCCATGAAGCTGACCTCACGTGGCCGCAGCACTCAAAAGCAGAAGAGGCATGCGTGCGGCCTTGAGGATTCTGGAACAAAGGCGGGCTAGAAATGTAATGCCGGCATAAATGCACGAATAGCCAGCCAGCCAGCCAGCGCGGTGCAGCGGCTGAGAGCACAGAGCGGGGACTCGGGCAGCCTGGGTCCGAGTCCTCGCTCAGCCATGAAGCCAGCTTGACGACCTGGGGCCAGGCACAGACTCTCAGTGCGGCCTACCTCACAGGGTCCTTGTTGTGGGAATAAGATGCAGAGCAGAAGGAAGAGAATGATGTAAGCCGCATTGCGTTCGCTGGAAAAAAAGCAGGATATAAACCTGATAAAATAAAAGATCGGTTGTTCCAGCTGCCCTCTGTATTCATGCTTTTGTTCCTCAAGGGCAGCCCCAGTGCCCGATTCTGCGCTGCCCCTCCTCAGCTGCTCTCCCCGTTTTGCCCTTCTGGTAGCCCTGCTGGTACCTCGCGAAGGTGAGCTCCCACCCTCTCAGTTCGCAGGGCTGCCCAAACTCGCACCCCCAAAGGGCCTCGGCTCTCGGCTCCCGCCACATGGACGCATGCACATGTAAGGCCCACGCAGTGCAGAGCCTGCTGGGACATATCCTGATGTCACCCTAACATTTGACAATCGTCTTCATCATGCCTCTTTTTAAGTAGTAGAACAAACCCTCCCCTGACTCTTGCATCAATAGAGGGCCTTTTCAGAATGGACCAGCCTTCCCTGACCCAACTCCCTCCAGATGTGAGGGTGCAGGCTAGTGATGATGGGAAGTGTAGTCTCTCCAACTCCTCTGGAGGGCACCTGGTGGAAGAAGGCTAGACCAAGTGAACTGGACACACCTGCCCATGGTAAAGACCACCCTGAGCAGTCTCCAAGAAGGGGAAGGTGGTTTCCTGGCCTTGCAAAACAGCTCTTGGAAGGAGAACCGGGATGTTCGTCCTGTGATCTTGTCTGCAAAATGTTGCAGGGCAACACAACACCCAGTAGCCCTCGACAAAGCAGGAGACTCACTAGTCCATGGACCACCCAAGTTACCTTCAAGGCTGTCATTATTTCCGTCTGGACTTGGCCTTTTTTGGCTCTCCGCAATTTGCTCCATTATTCTAATGCAGGCTGAAGTTCTGCCTGGCGCGCAAGATGCCACCCACCCAGCCAACGAGATAATCACCAGGTTTGGGCCTGTCATCATCACAGCATCCCTGGTCAGGCCGGCGGCCTAGAACTGCCACCTCTCATTACCTCCCTCAGGCGGGCCGACCAGACACACGCTCAGCCCACTCCCTGTCCTGCGCAGCCATCCAGGGAGGGCTCTTCCGAGAAGATTAGTCCAAACAAAGAACAGGGCCGGCTGAGAGGTGCCCAGTGGAGAGGACCGAGGGGGCTACAAAGGCCCAGCCAGCTGGTTTGCTGCTGCTGCCGCCGCCTCCCGGCCTTGACGTGTTCCAGGCTGGAGCTGCTCATCTAGTTGGGAAGCAGCGGGAAAGACGGCAAATGACCCTGCTGGCCACTGGCCACTGCACGGCCCACCCACTGTAGGACATCGGCACCTTAACATGGGAAGTGTTGCCTTTCGAGTGAGTGTGGAGGGGCAGCTGTTCCAGATGTGTCTCAGAGGTAGTCTTTTGATCCATCCGTTTTTAAAAACCAGGCTTTCAGTGCGCCGATTTGCAAGTGTGAATGAACCCTACAGGCAGTAGTAATGGCAAATAACCTGCCTTACTGCAAACTGGCACATGCCACAAATGAAGTGAAGAGCTGCTCTGCAAACCTGGGGACTAGGCCTGACCCGGCAAGAGCCGCTCCGTGGTGGCTCCAGCTGCTGGCTTCGTAGGAGGAGGCCTTGCTGACTTCCACAACCCCGCTAGCCAGAGGGGTCTCACTATCCCGCTTCTCCCCTCCCACGCTTCTGCAGCAGGTGCCGAGCTCTGGCTGCCACCACCCCACGCCAGGAAAAAGATGCAGCCTCCTCTTTGCATTCATGGGGCCCACAGGCAGACTCTTCTGCTGACTGCAGCCCAGAGACAACTGTCTGCAAGCGAGGGTGCCCTGGCAGGTGGGCGGGCGAGTGGGGGCTCTTGGGGCATCGCGGGTGCTGCCACAAGGGGCTTGCCCATGCTCGAACGGCCACTAGAAGCCACCCATCCACCAGGAGGCCACGTGCCTTGCGCAAGACCTCACGTCCCAGGCTGAGCAGAGCGCAGCCTCCATGAGGCACCGCCACTCACGAACCCCAGTAAAAGTGCTGGAAGTCAGTCCTTCCCTTGGCATCGTGCCTGTCTCCCAAATAAAATCAGGAATTATTTCAGGAATC